TTGCTCCTAAGACATGGTACTACAACTTTCATTTAGCACTCAAAAGCAAATAAGGTCATATACATGGTCCAAAACCAGCAAACATTCAAAGCTAAAATGCTGTCCAGAAATCTAAAATAAATTCATGCGCAGTTTTACGAAAATAGGTATCATTCATTACTCGGACCATATTTTTGCTTGATTCCAGAACCACATGAAAGATAACACATAGAACTACAATTTCAATGAAGACTTCAGGTTCATTTGAGCACATTATCCTATCATAAACACACAAAACATCTAAACCTAACTGCAGCCGGATTTAAGAAAAACTGCTCGCGCAGTTAATTTTGTAAAAATCATAACGTATTCGTTTTAAATCGAAATCGCACGATTCCAAAGCTCACGTAAACAAAACTGAACGAACTACATATCATATGAAGAACTCGAAAACGGAAAATAACATCTCAGGGGCCTAAATTGCTTCCGAACAGACAGCACGAAAATGACAATTACACATGAAATCATAACCTAATTATCCGAACTTCATATCATCTCGAAAGCAACCTAAAACAATGATTCTTGGAACGTTTATCACATAATAAGACACGATTATGAACACATAAATTGATAACAATTAACCCTATTCACATATCATTCAATTAATTCTTTCGGAAGTCCGGCAAGGCTCCGACCAATTCCAACTCAACAATAACTCAACAATTACTCGACTTAAGCAAGCGTAAGAGGTTCAATTATCTACTTTAAACACATTAATAATTTGTTCATGATTATTCGAATTCGAAATAACAGTCCATAAGAAGTCAAGGCTTAGGGTTTTACCGCTCGAATAAAAGAACAACGGTAGGGTTCGAAAGGGCTCGAATGAAAGCTCGGTGGACTTGGCCGTGTACGTGAAGGGGCTGTCCGTGGCTGAGGTACGATTGCTGCTCGACGAAGGTGGTGGCTGCGAATGGTGGCTGTTTGCTCACGGCAATGGAGGCTGCTCACGGTGAAGGCTTGTGGCTCACGGCGGAGAAGGTGGCTTGTTGCGGTGGCTACGGCTTGCGTTGGGGCTCGCCGTCTACGGTTGACGCTCCGACGGAACTCGACGGGGCTCGACGGCTACGATGGGTATTCCGACGGAACTCCACGGGTCCCGACGGCAATGGAGCTACGACGGTGATGGTTGCTTACGGTGGTGGCTCGCGGAGAGGGAGGAGAACGACGGTGCTGCGCGTCGATGGCTGGGACCTGCGGCGGCGATGGAGGGCCTGTGGCGGGGTTCGACGTTGAAGACAATGGTGGATGACCGGTGGTCGATCGTTGGACTGCTCGCGATGAAGATGGCTGCGCGACTGGACATGAAGGGAGGCTGCGCTGCTTCGATGATGATGAAGATTGATGGCTGGGGACGATGGAGACGATGATGATAGATGATGAAGGAGCTTCGGGAAAATAAATGCGAGAGAGAGAGAGGTCGAGAGAGATAAAATAGAAATTGTGAGGTAATGATAGGTATTTGTAACATGTGGGATTTTAATACCGTATGATATAAGAATTCTTGAACAATAAGACTAGGAAACTGATAAAAATTAGGATTCTTTCTGGCTTGGATGAGGGAATAAAATATCGTAAGGTATCATAAAGTCTTGAACTTTCACTAGGCTTAGGAAAATTGGACTGTTTATTTTGAACTCAGTTTATCATCTTAATAATTATTATCTTCATTAATTAAAATCATATTAATTAAATTAAGTCATTTCATAAATAATAATTATATCACTATTATTGCATTTTATACTTAGGAAAATTAAATAGATGAGGACATCTAAATAATTCCATTTTTATCATCAACTTGATAAATAAATGAGTGTGGACACTCACTTAATTATCACAAAAAAAAAATCGAGCTTACAAAAAAAATAAAAATAACTTTATAAATCATTAAATTAAACATAAATAATATCCATGAAAAATAATACTTAAGCATAAAATGAATGACATGAGTTTGGGGTGTTACACATATAAAGGTATAATAATACTTAAGCACAAAATGAATGACATGAGTTTGGGGTGTTACACATATAAAGGGATACCGGTGTATTATGGCAAAATCCCATGTTAAATATTCTAGCCACAATGGATGCTTCACAAAGAGATTGTTTTCTTATGCTACCTTTGTTGATGGCCTGTCTCTCTCTAAGCAACTTAAATGTTACGGCCCGACTTGCTCAGGTTCGGGTGGACACAAAAAATAAAAACCGTATTAGCTTTTTGGCAGTGGGAAGTGGAAGACTGGGGAAGAAAGGGGAATTACAACCAATCCGTTGTTGCCCGGCGGGTAAAATATTAACCCTTTATTCTCTGTCGTGAATTATATGGATAACTACCAAAACTAACATTAATTATAGAAATCTTACATTTATTTGTTTTATCTTTCGTGATTTGCAACTCAACAACCCTCTCTCTAGCAGAACACTCGTACTTTAAAAAAATATATGACTAGAGATGTCAATCCCAACTTTCATTTATTTTGTTTTTGTTCAAAAAAAATAAAAAATTAAAAATAAAATCGGCCTTGGATATGATCCATTGAGATATTTCTCGAACTAATTTTGCTATGGAGTAATCGGATGACACGACTTATGGAATCATCCACACTAATTCACAAACAGTGTATTGACACATACCCTATGATATGGACAGGTGTCAACACATTAAGTGATGAATGACTCCATAAGAAAACCATCCAAATAGCTCAATAGAATTTTTATTTCTCCAACACAATCATTCTTGTTAATCCATATGTCCAAATATTCTAATTTCCAAAGCATGCTTGGACACAACGTTGACCCTTGGCACAGGGCGACCTGGGCAACAGCCCAGGGCTCAATTCAATAAAGGGCACCAGACCGGCCCATTGTATTATACATTTTATCTTAATTTTATTTTAGTTCGAAAATAGAAAAAGAAAATGAAATGAGACCACCCCAATTTAAGGGACACCCATATTTATGGCAAAAAAATCTCTCTCCGATATCAAAAGTAATTGATATGATCTTTCTTACTTTTTATCTTCCCCAACAATTTTCTACTCACACCTAGACAATACCCCTCTCTCTCTCTCTCTCTCTCTCTCTCTCTCTCTCTCTCTCTCTCTCTCTCTCTCTCTCTCTCTCTCTCTACTTAATTATATGTTATATATTATTATATTATTTTAGATACCCTATTTATCTTATTTACTTTTGAAAAAAATTATTTAGATTGTTTAATTTTTTAAATATTATATTATTTTTTATAGCAATTATAATTATTTTATGGTTTAGATTTTCTTCACTAATTAAAATTTTTTCAATGAAATTTAAAGTTTGTTTAGTGTATATTTGAACATATTTAGTAATATTTAATGAAAACATACATTATCTTTTAGAATGTGAGAATCGTGTCATTATTTCTTATGAGTGCAGTGATTTTTTTATTGGATATGCTCCAAAGTCTGGATTTCTTTCTAAAGCTAAAGAATTCTATCGCGTTTTTGTTGAATAATACTAGGGCATTATTTTCGTGTTTGGCCTAAGGCCTTATAATCTTCAGGATCGGCTCTGCTTGGACACAAGTTAAAAAATAAACAACATTCCAATCATTTTAACTAATCACTTTTTTTAATTTAAATGTAACTCAACTTTAAATTAACTCAATTATCCTCAATATTATCGATATAATTAAATAATAATTACATATACAATTAAATAATATCAACCAATTATTTCACATATTACGTCATCTTTAGTTCATTATTCATTCACTCACATAATTTTAACTCTCACTTCACATAATCTCTCTCCTACTTTTACATCAAATCTACTTTAATTATTTTATTTTAAATATTATTATAATATAAACTCGAAATCTCATTAACTAACCATACCACATTTTTCAACATTAACCAAACAAAACCAAAAGTTCTTATATTCAAGTTTCTAATTAATCATGTTTCTTTTGGTCTATCATTACATGTCTTGTGATCAACTATGCTTGTTCATACTATTTCTTGTAAAAGTATGAGATATGGCAAAATTTATCTATAAAATAAACATTAACACACACACACACACACACACACACACACACTATAAACTTAACTATGTTTATCTATGTTGTCTAAAGCATGACCAGTTTCAAAATGTGGAATGCAGATGGGAGATGTAGGAGCCAAACTAAGCATCGACTTTGTAGTCTCAACTGGTGACAATTTTTACAGTGACGGTTTGAATGGAGTCAATGATACTGCTTTTGCCGAATCTTTCTCTAAGATATATACGGCAAGAAGCCTCCAGAAACCATGGTATGCAAGTAAGTACATCAGGGAATATGCATGAGAACTCTATATACATCTTATTATAATAATTTTTTATAATTGTTAGCACCTTGAATCTATTTTCCTTGCAATGTAGTACTGGGGAATCATGATTATCATGGGAATACTGAGGCACAGCTGAGCCCATTGCTCAAGAAACGAGACCGTCGATGGAATTGCTTCAGGTCTTACATTGTTCAAGCTGGTAGTATTCGCTAAGCCTTTCAGCTGTTATGTTCAATTTGGTAACAAATCAATCTGGAAATACTGATAAGTTTTCTCGAGTCTTTAAGCTTTTATTCTACGAGCCCAGAGCCCCAGACTACTGAAGGATCAAGTCAGTTGCTACATTATGTCATTATCAAACTATAAACAAGCTGAATGAATATTTTTTGTAACTACGTAATTGGAATTCCAAAAATGTGTATGTTCACAAACCTACTCATGTGAACCAGTTCGATTGATTACTTATTCTTCCTACTCAGTGACTAGAGAACAGAAATTGGTTTTTTTGAGCATGTCTTAAGTCCTCTTTGATCATGCTTCAAAATAGTTTCCAAATCTTTCTCCACATAAATCGAGCATCAAATCTTCAGGGATGGTACACATTTTCATGGTGGACACAAATCCATTTGTCAACAAGTATTTTACTAAGGCCAAGAAATTCAACTGGGAAGGGGTACTCCCCAGACTCTTATACATTTCTAACCTTCTAAGGGTCAGTATCACCTTAAGTTTTGACATTTATATGGTAATACGATCCAGTTTGCAAACATTGCTTAGTCATAAATGCCTTTATTATATATATACTCAATAGGATCTAAATGCAAACTTGAGGGCATCAAATGCTACCTGGAAAATTGTCGTCGGACATCATCCAATAAGAAGCATTGGCAAACGAGGAGACACCAAAGAACTTGTGGAACTCCTCCTCCCGATACTTCAGGTACCCCTCTAAAATAAGCACTTGTAAGATATTTTTTACTTCAGAAAAAAAAAAATGAAAAGGAGAAAAGAAAATAGAAAAAGAAGAAAATAAAACCATATAGAAAATACATTATCTTCTAATGCCGAACCTTTTTATCTACTTCCCAGGCGAACAAAGTCCCTATATACATAAATAGGCATGAGCACTGTCTGGAACACATCAATAACACTGGAAGGTAAAAACAAAGATCCACCAAAAAATATTATTTCACATAGAAACCTACGTTATTCAGCAATAACCGAACTTTTTCTGCAGCCCAATCGAATTCCTGACAAGCGGAGGGGGGTCGAGAGCATTGGGAAACATTACTCATCATGAAAAACACAAGAACAACTTGAACTTCTACTATGACGGGCAGGGTTTTATTTCAGTTCAGGTTACAAGACGGGAAGCAAAAATCTCTTTCCATGATGTCTTTGCCAAAATCCTGCATAGCTTTAAGTTGACGAAATATGGTAGGAATAATAGAATCTAAATTTCTGCACACATGTACCAACCTCCCCTTGAATCAATTTTATAAATCCAAATACAGCAGAGGTCATAACATAATATCATTTCCCAACAAAATACTTACAGAGCCAATCCTTGTGCTATGTTACTTATGGAACAAATATATATCCAATCAAAGCACCATGCTTTGCCACAACAAATGAGAATCCTTGGCAAACAGCATTATCAAAACTGAAAAATTTACAGTTGGAATCCACAAATAAATCCAACAGGCATTTCCCACTGTATACAAACAAATCCCGATTACTCAGCAGCACTATCATCCACATCACAAATTAAAGAAGGAACAAGTATGTATATGTACAGTCAAATAGAGCCAACACACACCAGTATTTTAGCCATCGCACAAAACCAAACAACTCAGTAGTAGAAACCTCCAATCACATCCTTCTCTTTATTCTCAAAATCTGCTTTTCAATTTGTGACAAAATGGTACCTTGAGTCGACATAGCTCTCAACATCCCAAAGAAAAGAGCCGAAAGTCACAGCCTCCAGAACAAGTCGTCTCAGCCCACCAAAGGTCACCTTAATCTGCTCATCTTTAGAGGGGTCAACGTTCCCATCCTGTGTGAAGATCATCTCGGGCCTACCAAACAGGGCCTCTGTATGTTTCTCAACAATACTGATAGCCTCCTTAGACCGTATAGTTGCGTACCTCTGAAGAGTCTCCCCATCAAACGACATCACATAACTCCGCAGCCGACAAGGTTTTAACCCAACAAAACCCCTGTTGCCAACACCACCTGACCATGCAGAGACTTCTGGATGCGTCGGCGAATCATCAGGCCTCGTCTCGTCCATCATTACTTCTTCGGCAAGACTCTCTCCACCAACCATACCCTGCCCCTGGGGAAGGATTTTCATTGTCTTCTCCAACTGAAACCTCTGGTCAACCCTTTTGAGGAAATAGCCGTACATGATGGAGGCTGCATACACCTGGCCCACCCTGAGCTTGCTTATTTGGGCGACCGAGCTGGAATCACTGAGCCGGTTACCGAGAATGAGGGCGAGATGGTTCTGAATCATCTCGTAGGCTTCGGGAGAGTGGAGACGCTCGAGTTTCTGGTCTTCGGGGGCATGCCATGTGTCCACACGTACAGAGTTGTTGGGCGGCGATCGGGCGATTGCTGGGACCATGGGAACTTCGGCATCCATGAATTTCTGTACCACTAGAGCATACAGTATTTCTTCTAAGGCCCTTTTCCTTTCATTAGCTTTCACCTCGGCAATTCTCCTGTAGCCACAAAAATAGCCGAACACAAACTTAGACCATGGT